TCATTTTACAGATGAGGAAACTGAGGCAAACAGGATTAAGTGACTTGCCCAGGATCATACAGCTAGTGTCTGAAGCTGGATTTGAACTCAGGTCTTCCTAACTCCAGGCCTAGCACTCTAGGCACTATGGCACCACCTAGCTGCCCTTAAGAAGGTATCTCTGACTCCAGTTTACCAAATCAACCTTATCTCATATTATTCCCTTTTGTATGCTCCATCTGTCCCACTCTACTCCATCCTTCTCTGGAGTCTTTTTTCCCCATCTGGAATCTTAATGTCTTTTCTCATACTATCCTTCATTCCCCAATATGGAAGAGTTTCCATCTGGGACCCCTACCATGTCCAGCTGCTAGAGTTCTTCCCTCCGTTCAAGCCCTCTGTCAGCTGCCACCACCTCCATGAACCCTTCTCTGTCCACCCCTCACACTCTTCTTCAGTGTGTGATTGGACGATTCACTCACCTCTTGGAACGTTTTTCTCATCTGTAAAATGGGTAGCAAAGTGCTTGCCCTTTCCCACCTCGATGCTGTTATAAGGAAAGTGCTTAGCAAACCTATAAGACTTTAAGATTCTGCTATTTCCTCTGCTCAGGTACTCGACACTGAAGTAGATCTTGACTCTAATGGTCTCAGAGAGTGGCTGTGGCCCCAAAGCTCATTACCCTGCAACCAGCCTAGTGGTACACTCAAAACAGCCAGGCTGGTCCTCAAGCAGCTACCCGGCCTGTGGATAGAGCCAAAGACCTGCAATCAGGAAGACTGAGTTCAAATTCAGCCTCAGGCATGGACTAGCTGAGTGATTCTGGACAAGTCACTTTAGCTCCTGTTGGCCTCAGATATTTTGATCTATAAAATGGGGATAATAATAGCATCTACCTCCTGTTCTGAGGATCCAATGAGATAACATTTGTAAAGTGCTTTGCAAACCTCGAAGCACTATAGAAATTCAAATTCTTAGACACAGACCATTGCTAGAAGGAAGCTCATGAGACTGGTCACTCCCTTGGCACGGCTTTTGAGAACAAAGAGTCACATCCCGGCCAAGTAGGCATCAGAAGAAGACGTCAAAGGAGGCACACCTCAAAGTATTCTAGAAAAGTAGAGTGTGTGTGTGTGTGTGTGTGTGTGTGTGTGTGTGTGTGTGTGTGTTGTTTGTTTTTTAAGCTGAAAGAATGACTACATATCTACCTATGACTGGCATGAATGGTGTAGGCACAAACTCTATATTCACAGTCTTCTAGATGAGAGAGAAGAGAAAGCCTGGAGGTGCTCTAACTGGAGAGGCCCCCAAACAAAGTGGAAGGTGCTCCTCCCTGGGTCCCAAGGGCTTCCCCCTCCCCTCCAGTCACCTTGTGTTTATTCTACACATATTTTAGACAAACGTGTGAAAGGCAATGCAATGTAATGGGTAGAGAATTAGCTTTGCAGTCTCGCCTCTGACCTATAGTGGCCATGTGGTTCCCTTGACCTCTTAGGCCTAAGTGACAGAGAAGTCTGCCTTGGTAGAAGAACTCTCCTGATCCAGAAGTTCCTTATACCAATGAAATTACACACACACACACACACACACACACACACACACACGTATATATGTATATGTATATGTATATGTATATGTATATGTATATGTATATGTATATGTATATGTATATGTATATGTATATGTATATGTATATGTATATGTATATGTATATGTATATGTATATGTATATGTATATGTATATGTATATGTATATGTATATGTATATATATATATTCCTCCTACATTTTATAGAGAATTCTATGTCTATATGTTGTCTCCCTTGATAGAATGTAAGCACCTTGAGGGCAGGGCTTGCTTCATTTTTGTCTTGCATAGTGCCTGGCATATAGGAGGCATTTGAAGATTTCTTCATTGATTGATTAATTGATTTAGGAAGAAAGATGGATATTTTGGAGCAGGGCACACCACACTGGGGAATGCAGAGACTCAGGTAGCACATAGTAGGTGCTTTATAAATGCTTATTGACTGACTGTGAACAGGATGGAGCCTCCAGGCCCTGGGTATTGCCATGGTCCAGAGGAAAAAAAAACCAGGGTTGAGGACAACGGCCCGCACGGTGGGTGGAGAAGCAATAGAAGAAAAACTCTTCATCAAGGACCCCTCTGACCCCAAATCATGAAGCATCAGAAGAGGTAACATCGAGGCAGTGAATGTAGAGCTGCAACTGGAGTTAGGATCACCCGGCTTCAAAGCTGGCCTCCAACATTGGCCTTGGGTGTGTTGTAGAATGTGTGCTATGGATCTAGAACTGGACAGGGCCTTAGAGATCACTTCATCCAAGCCCCTTATTTTGCAGTAGAGGAAGCTGAGTCCCAAAGAAGTTAAGTGACTTGTCCAAGATCACACAGGTAGTAAGTGCCAGAGGCAGAATTTGCACTCAGGTCCTCAGATTCCAAATCCAGCACTCTTTTTTCTGTATTACCTCTCTGAGTCTTGGTTTCCTCATCTGTAAAATGGGGATAAAGCACTAGGTCTGGGATCAGGTAGACCTGAGTTCAAATCCAGCCTCAGACACTTACTAGCTGTGTGACCCTGGGTGAGTCACTTCACCCTGTTTGCCTCAGTTTTCTCATCTATAAAATAGGAATAATAAGAACACCTCCCTCCCAGGGTTTTTGAGAGGATCAAATGAGATAATAGTAAAAGGCTTAGCACAGTGCCAGGCACACAGTAGGCGCTGTATAAATAAACGTTTATTCCCTTCCCCGTCCCCCATAGTGCTTCCCTCACGGGCCATTGGGAGCCTGAAATGGAACACTCTAAGTAAAGCTGGCTTCAGTCCTTAGAGTACCATTCAAATGTCAATTTTGATCATTATTGTTTCTCCAGGGGTTGAGGCTGAGACCGACAGGCAGCAGACAGCAGGAGTCATAAATAATTGACCAGGAACCGACCCAGGTTAGAAAAATCCCTGTATACAGACAGGACAGTGATGGGCAGCTCTCCCTGCCCCAGGGCACAGGTGGTGGCCAGGGGAGGAGCCCCATAGGATGACACTGGGTCTGAAGAGAGAGGGAGCCAGGGAGCCAGAGCTCAGCTTGGGATGGGAGGGGGAGGAGGTTGTGTGATGACCTTGGAGCCTGCCACAGTGAAGGGTATTGGCCTTGGGGTCAGGAGGCCTAGGTTTGAGGTCTAGCTTGGACACTTACTGGCCATGGAGCAATCCTAACACTAAGCCTCAGTTTCCTTTTATGAAAAATGGAAGGAGGATTACTTGCCCTGTCTGCCTCCTAGGGCTTTTGTGAGGAAAGCACTTTGTAAAATGATACATTCTTAAGATTATTCTTATTTGTCCACAGAAAGTGGACTACCTGCCATCCCCGTGGTCTCCCCTTGCCTCCTACCGCAGGCTCCTTGGATGGTAAAGCCAGAAGGAAACTGCATTGTCTAGTTGGATTTATAGACATTGGCCAGGGAGAAGTCCAGGGGAGCTGGAGACCTACCGAGGAGAGGACACAGTAAGTGGGGCCCCTACCCTGAGGTCTCCCCACATGCCTCTCTCCGTTCTTCTGGCCAGGTTGAGGTCCAGCCTCCCAGAGGTCCAGACCAATGCTGCTGGGCTGGCATACAGGGAGCAGAGGGAAGGCTTTGGGGATGGAGGGAGGCACAGCAGGTGTATCATGGCAAGCCCGAGTCAGGTTGTGGAATTGGGATTGGCTCTAAAGGAGCATAGGCCAGAGAATGGGAAGGGACCTTAGAGCTATCGTCTGATCCACTCAGTTTACAACTGAGGAAACTGAGGCTCAGAGGGGTTAGGAGGTTTGGTGAAGGTCACACAGGTGACCGAGAGCAGGTATGAGATTTGAGCTAAGGTCCTCTGACTTCAGGTGCAGTACTCTTTCATTGACCTAGGATGTCTTAAGGACACAGGGCCACTGGGGGTGGGAGAAGGGGTAGCCATGACATAGCAGGTACTTAATAACTGCTTATTGATCTATTGCTGTAACTACCGGCCCCTTCCCTTTCTCAGCACTGTGCTGGTGCTGCGACAAGGACGATCCACTAAGGCATTGGCAGGGGATCGAATGGGAGAAGAGCGCCTGCTTGGGCCAAGGCTCAGACCTTCCCAGGAGATTCCCCCACCTCGCTTGGATGTACCTCTAACCATATCTGACTTCCAGTCCTAAGAAAAAGGGAAAGAGTCTTATTTTACACACTGGTACTGAGGGACCCCTCACTCCTACTTTGGTTTCCCCCATATACCTGGGACCCAGGAGGGACTGAAGGATGCTCTAAGAATATTTTCTGTTAGTCTCAATCATGTCCCGGATCCCAGGAACCAAGCCCCTTCTCCAAAGCTCCCTCTTCCCTCCAAGTTTCTTGACGCAGAGGTTGAGAACACCCCTCGAGTGAGGTTCTGCTCTAAGCTGTCCAGATCTAGCACCCAGAGCCAACTGAGCATGAGTCCCAATGTATTGATCTAGAACTTACATGGGGTACAGGGGTAGGCCTGTCCTAGGGGTGGTAAAGAGGATCACAGTTTCTGCCCCAATCTAAATCAAGTGCCCTGGGCTTCTGGAGTGACCCACCAGGGGCCACAGAAGGGGGAGCTGGAAACAGGGTTGGGGAGTGGAGTTGAGAGGCTTGGAACTGAGATCCCAGGACCAAGATCTAAGACTTGGAACCTGGAGCTCCATCCAAGCCCCAGCCAAGAGTTGGGGATGGGGAGGAGAGAAAGGAAGCTTTTCTATCGGGCCTGTTAGTGGGGGGAAACAGAGGAGGACACTTCCCTTGGGCAGGCCGCGCAGGCTCCACGCTGTGGCCTGCTCAGATTTTGATCTCAGTTCGGAAGGTCTGCTGCACGTGCTCCGGGTGGGGGTGGCGTCGGGCACGGATGGTGAGGCTCCCATCATCGCCCAAGGCTGAGGTCACGGATGTGGGATCCACATCTTCTGGGAGCTGGCATTTGTGGGTGAATGTATTCATGACAGTACCATCTGGGGCCAGCTGGGGGTAGAGGAGGCAAGAGGTCAATACAAGTCACTCTGGCCTTGCTGTGACCTTCACAAAGGAAACAAGGACCTCACAATCTTCCATTTTCTCCCTAAACCCTGTAAAACATAGGTCCGTGTCCTGGGGCAGTGAGGAGGGTGTGGCCAGGGCAGGGTGGCCAGAAGTTAAGCGCACCTGACCATGGCCAGCACTTAAGAGCTTGTACAATGTGTCCTGGTATTTTTTTTTGTCAATTGAACACATTTAAAATATTCTCAGGCCCAGGATGGGGTGGGGAGGAGTACAGGGGGGCCTCCGCCAATGGGATGGAGGTGAAGCGAGCAGGGTGAGAAGCTCTACATGGTGTTGGAGGGAGTGAAGAGGATGGGGCCGGAATAAAGGGGATGGAGATCAAGTAGGGAGTAGGACCTCAATAGAGGGGAATCAGAGGGAAATGGGGCCTAGTGAAAAGGAGAGGGGCTTAGAGAGAGGGGAATGGAAATTAGTTAAGGAGACGGGGTTCAACAAAGAGGATGGGGCTCAATGAGGAGATGGAGTCTCCAATAGGAGGGGGATCAGTGAGGGGGACTAAATTAGGAGATTAATGAAGGGCTGGTGACTCATCTAGGAGAAAGAGAGGGTCTCAGGGAGAGGGATGCAGGTTCTGTGCTAGGGATGGGGGTGGGTTATATTGTTGTCAGGAATCCACTCTAGGAATCCATAGGAAGAGTCTGGGTAGGAATGAAGTGTCTTCCCTGGAATACCCTTCCCTTCCCTTCCCTTCCTTAGGTACCTGCCTTAAACAAGTGCCCACCCACATAAAGCTGGGTCAATGCTCAGGTCTAGGTGGCTCCTCCCAGTGGCCTCTGGCCAGGACATAGCGTTCTGATGGTGGCAAGAAGGAGCATGAGTCATGTCCAGCCACTGGGCATCAGGACTGGCACATGCCTGGGCCGTCTGGGGCTGGCACCGGGGTCGTCTGCAGGGACAACTGTGGGTGGTAACTGTGCTGCTTTCCCCTTCCTGCTCCCTGGAAACAGGACCTGGTCCAGTCCTCCAGAGTCCATCGTTCAGAGCTGGCTGCATTCCTGGACCATTGCTGGTGCCCACCCACAGGACTTCTACAAATAGGGAAACTGAGGCACAAGATGAGGAGGTAGTTTGTGGTAAGAGCTATAGCTGTGGATTTGCTGCTACTTAGCTGTGAAACCACTGGTCTCAGTCAGAAGACTTGGGCTTCAGGACTGGCCCTGATGTTTGTTAGCTGTTTGTTAGTGACTTTGGGCAAATCACTTCCCCTCTCAAAGGCTCAGTTTCCTTCTCTGTAAAATGGTTATAATAATACTTACACCACCTATCTCACATAGCCCTTACCTTTCTTTACGAGGAAAGAATCTTGCTAACTTTAAAGAATTATGCAAATACGAGTTATCACTGTTTTAAATACTCGGTCTTAATAAATGCTTATTCATTCATTGATAGGTTGCGGACAGATTTGTTGTGTCCTTAGGTGGCCAGGGCAGAGTTGTTGGCCTCCTTCTGATCCCTCCAATGAAAGGCCACACAGAGTAGGGCCACCAATATGATGTTTCTTTCTTCTGGCGTATAGCCCCCCCCACCCCGTTTTGGGGCTGCTACTGAGAAATGAGCAGTGAGACAAAAGAAAACCTTAGTGAGGTTCCGGGGGCCTGCATTGTCTCCAGTGGGACTCTGCTTAATGTTTTCTTTCATCCCCCTAAGCCTTAGAGGCTTCAGGGGCGGGTCAGGGGTACATTGTGGGTCCACTCAAGATGCAGGGAACTAGGCTTATGAGTCCTGAGAAAGAGGGGCTCCCAGCTCTCTGAGGCAGCTTGTGGTAAGAGCTGGCACCCACTTCCTTCCTGTCTCCGTTGGGATCTGGCTCCTCCCTGTCCTTCTCAAGTATATCTCCCATTCAGTCTCAGCTTTTGTCTCCAATACACTGCCCCATTCCCTTATCTTCCATCTCTTCAATCCTTGTTACACCTCCCCTTAAAAAAATGTGTTGACATGTTTTGTTTTGATATTAGCTTCATTTCCAAATATGTCCCTTTCCCCTCCCCTCACCAGACTGATATTCTCTTGTGACAAAGAATAAAAGAGGGGAGAAAATAGTAGTTCAGCAGAACTAACCAGCATGTAGACCAAGTCTGACAATACATGCAGTATTACAGACCCATAGTCTCCCACCTCTGCAAAGAAAGTCAGAAGGCTCATCTTCTCATCTCTTCTTGAAGACCAAGCTTAGTTATAGTGAATTACATGCTGCTTTGCCCAGATAGCCTTCTGCCCCTGCCTCACCTAATTTCTCTCCTCTTCCACTTCTCCTAATCCCATTTAGGTTTTCCTAACCACTCTCCCTTGCCAGCTTTGTCTGGGGAGAGAGTCTGGGGAGATCCCAAAGGAAGAGGGCAGATTTGGCTGGGTCAGGAGGGATGGATGGGATACTCAAGCCTAATTGGGACAGAGTGCCACTCACCTTCTCAGCCCGAACCTCAATCTGGTTGTTAGATGTGGTAACAATGATGTCCTCTGGGGAGAAATCACTCACGTCCACTGCAAACTGGTAGGAATCTCCCAGGGTCTTGATATTGCCTGTACCTCCAGATCGGGCTGCCGTGGCAGGGGTGGGGGTTGGGGAATAGGAGATGGAGTGATTTTCAGTTCTCAATGTGAGGAGGCTGAGTCTGCCTTTCTTTTTTCTTCCCAAACACCCATTAGATGATCAGTAGAATGTTGGAACTGGAAAAGACAATCTAATGCAGCCTCTTCACTTTACAGATGAAGAAACTGAGGCACAGAGATGAAGGACTTGCCTGATTAGAACCCACGTCCTCTCTCTGACTCCCAATCTAGCCCTTTTTCCATTACACCATGGCATCTGGATTTTTTCCCATTCCAGAGTGATTACAGGAGACAGCTCCTCTGGTTCTCAGCTGTAGCCCCTCCCTAACTCCTCCTCTCCTGTTTTTTTTTCTACCTCTAAACCCTGACACATCTCTCCATCCCCCCCTCCCCCCCCCACCACAGCCAGGCCACCTTCAGACTAGCAGCAGTGAGTGCTCTCCGAGCACCCCTAAGCTCTCATCGTTCCAAGGAGTCAATACGCTGGAATCCTGAAGACCTGGCTTTGAATCTCAGTCTTTCCACCTGGGTGACCTTGAGCAAGTCACGTAACCTGGGCCTCAGTTTCCTCATCTGTAAAATGAAGGAGTTCGTCCAGAGGGCTCTTCTAGCCCTGGATCTAAGATCTCATCTTCCTTCCTACAGCCCCAGTCTTTAGTCAGTTGGGATTCCCTCTTCACCTCAAATTCCCATTCATTTCCTTGGGTTCCTTACGGGTCAGAACCGATCATAGGGTGAGAGATGGACGAGGCTTTAGAGGTCATCTAGTCCAACCCTCTTATTTTACAGATGAGTAAACTGAGGCCCAAGAAGTTAAGCGACTTGCCCAAGACAATGCAGGAATCAAGTAACAGAACCAGAATTCAAATGAGGTCTTTGGACTTTGTTTAGCCAAAGTCCATTTACCCTTTAGGGCCACAGCTGCTTCTCGTGACTATCCTCATCTATCCTTTCTAGCCATTTCTTTCTTCTTTGTCCACTTCTACTCTTGCGGCCACCCCCGCCCCACCCCAGCTCCCATAGCACCTCCTGCTGGCAGAGTTGGTTTTAACAGACTTCCGGAACCAATAGAGTCCTGGGTGTGCATAACACCCGTCTGCCTCTGTCTCCCTCCCAGCTGGGCCAAAGAGACCCAACTCCCTGGATCTCCTATCTTCTCTCCCTTCCACCCCAACTTGCCTGGAAAGCCCAAAGGCTCAGTGTGGGGCCGCATGAAGCTGCCGAAATCCTCAGAAAACATGCTCAAAGCCTTCTCCATGGGCAGGTCCCGGGCAGGGGGGTTGTGGGAGGCTGAGGAGGAGGAAGAAGATGAGGAAGAGTGGAAACTGTGTTCCGCTCGGAAGGTAGAGGAGGTCTTATGGCTCATTCACTAGGTGGGGGAGGGCTCTGTCCCAGGAACCGCAAGGAGGCACAGCAGGGCACTCGGCTGGGCTAAGGGAGTGCTTGGGGCTCTGGTGATTGGGGCTTTATAAGGCCCTCAGCCGCCCCCCAGGCTCTGGGCCAGCCCTCTTGTCCACTGGCTAAATATAGGTCTCTGGCAGGCAGTAGCAGGATAGAGGAGGGGGGTTGGCGGGCTGGTGGGTGGGGACGTGGGGGGTAGAAGGTTTTCCTGCTGAGATGTTGGTGCTGACATTCCAAACAAACCAAAGCAGAGACTGAGGCTGAGCTCATCCAGAAGCATTCCAGCCCTGCTGATAACAGGAGGAGGCTGTGAAGGGGGCAGAAGGAAGGATGGAGGAATCAAAGGGATGTGTGTGTGTGTGTGTGTGTGTGTGTGTGTGTGTGTGTGATGGCAATAGGGACCTGTTTAGGAAGAGAAGAAAGAGGAGGATGAGGAAGAAGGAGGGAAGAGGAGGAAGAGAGAGACTGGGAAGTAGGGATGGAGGTACTGGACTAGGAGTGACCTTCCATGAGGATCTGTTTAGGAAAGGGGAAGGAGGAGGAGAAGGAAGGAGAGAAGGGAAAGAGAGAGAGGAGAGGTAGAGGGAGAGAAGGAGGAGATGGAAACAAGGGAGGTAGCCCCTTCAGCACTTTCAGACTTAGGGGGTACCAAAGTCATTTACTTTTGTTGATTTGTGACTCTGTGAATCCAACCTAACCTGTCAGACCTAGGATTATCTCCCACCATCAGACTCAGGCTCCCTAAGGTCAAAGACTTTCCCCCTTAAGATGTGAGGGGATCCCTGGGGGCAGAGACTATTTCTCTACCCTTAGACCAGGGGCTCCCCAAGGTTAGGGACTGTGTTTCCTCCATCAGACTTGTATTCTTCCTCAGATTAGAGGAGTCCCCCAGGCAGAGACCATACCTCCCCCATCAGTGGCTATCCTATAGGGCACAGCCAAACTCCTGGAAAAAAGCTGCTATGCCCGTTGCTTCCATTTTCTCACATGATACTCACTTGTTGGATCATTACAGTCCAGCATGGCACCTCCACACTCAACAAAAATGATCTCTTTGTCACTGATGGCTTTGCTTTTCCTATACATACATGGCGATTTCTGTCTTGTCTTCCTTGCCCTCTCTGTAGCATGTGACACTGCTGCCCACCCTCTGCTCCTAGATATTCTTTTCCCGAGTTTTCATGACCCTGTTTGCCTGGTCTTATCCGGTCTACTTTGTTACTTCTCAGCTTCCTTTACAGAATTATCATCCTCTTCTTACCCCCTAGGCATGGATGTATTTCCGAGTTCTATTCCGGGTTCTCCTTCCTTCCTTTTCTGCACTGCCATGGATTGAATTCTTGTTTCTATTCAGAAGATCTATCTACCCAGTCCCAGTTTCTCTTCTGAATTCCATCACTAACCACTAGATGTCTCATGTGCATCTTAAGGTCAACACGTCCAAAACAGAACTCAGCTTTCTTTTTCTTTTTTAGGCAATTGGGGTTAAGTGACTTGCCCAGGGTCACACAGCTAGTAAGTGTCAAGTGTTTGGTCTGAGGCCAAATTTGAACTCAGGTCCTCCTCACTTCAGGGCTGGTGTTCTATCTACTGCACCACCTAGCCGCCCCCTAGAACTCAACTTTCTTGCAAACCTGTATCCTCTTCCTAACTTCCTGATTTCTGTTAAGGACATTACCCTTTCAGTCACCCAGGATTGTAATCTCAGTCATCTTCAACCTTCTCTTTTCTCTCATTCCCTCATATCCAATCAACTGCCAAGTCTTTGCTTTTTTCTACTTTGGCAAAATCTTTTGCATCCAATCCTTTTCTCTTCACGCACTTGACCACTATCCTAATTTAGGCCTTTGTAACCTCTCACCTGGACTTTTAACTGGTCTCTCTGCCTTTAGTTTCCTCCTCTTTACAACCCATCCTTCACACAGATGCCAAATTGTATAATCTGCTTAAAAGATAAGTTGGAACTAGGTAGGAAAGGGCTTGAAAAATCAAATAGGAGACAACAGGAAGTCATTGAAGTTTCTTGAAGAGAGGAATAACATGGCCAGACCTACAATTTGGCAGTTATGTGAAGGTTGTATCAGAGAGGGAAGGGGCTGGCTGGCTAAAAACCAGTTGGCAT